GGTTTCATGTCTCTCTCAAATTAAAAATCAAAGCCCTTAACAAAGGACTTCAAGGTCCTACATCATTTGGCTCCTACTATGACTCTGGCTTCATCTCCATCTACTCTCCTCCTTGCTCACTGCATTCTAGCCACACTGGCCTGCTCGCTATTCCTTAAGGACACCATGTACACTCTCGGGACTTTGCCACTTGCGGTTCCTTCCACCTGGAACACTCTACCATCAGAAGGCTCCCTTATCTCCTCTAGGCCTTTGCTCAAATATCATTTTCTCAGTGAGTCCCACCCTTAACTGCCCTATTTAAAACGGCAATTTTCCCAACCCATTCTGGCACTTCTTATTCCTCTCCTCACTTTATTTTTCTCTTTAGTATGTATCACTCATCTTATACATTATATTTTCACTTATTTGTTGGCTGTTTCTTTCTACTAGTATATAACCTCCACAAGAGCAAAGATGTATCTTTTTGCTCACTGCTATAGCCTTGGAAGAAAGTGCCTAGCATATAGGAAGAACTCAATACTTATTATTAAATGAGTGATGAATAAGTTTAAATAACTTTTTTGAGTAATTTTGCTATAAAACAGAGGACAGAAATGGATAGCAGGTGGGATAAGGTGAGATTTAATTTTTAAGATATGTAATATTACGGAATACTTATATGTTAATAGAAATGATCCAGCAGAGATAGAAAATTTGATAATACAGGAGAAAGAGGGAAATCTGTGTGAATCATATTGTTAAGTAGGCAATAAGAGATAACACAACAGGAAGGACTGGCCTTAGATGAGGGCAAATACAGTTTATCTATAGAAACAGGAGAAAAGACAAAGAATATAGATGCAGGTAGGTGGGATCTTATAAAATTTCTCTGATCGCTTCTAATTTCCTCATGGGCTAATTTTCTTTCTGCATCAGATGAGATGAAAAAAGAGAAGAGGCATCAGTGATTTGAGAAGCAAGGAGAAGGTATGAAATGATTCTCTAGAGAGTAGGAATAAGGATTACTTAGGGGAAGGCAGTAGGATCACCAGGCGCAAGTTAGTTGTCATGAATTTCAAATGAGACCAGTGAGCATGCAAGTGCGTGTTCCAGCCATGTTCAGGTACACATGCAGGAAGGTACAGAGATGGATTTAAGCAGGCCTGGCACTTAGCCATGCAAATATGAAGCAGTAAGAGATGAGTAAGGTGGTTGACAGCATACATGATACAGTAATTATAAGGATGGACCATGAGATCTAGGCTAGGTAAGATGGGATGTGAGGGTAAGGGAGTGAGGGTAGGGTAGGTTAGAGGCTTTGTTAAGGTGGTAAGATAAATAAACTGGCCATTCTGGCAAGTTTGAAGAATTTTTAATTGGGGGAATAGGTCACAAATATAGAGCTGTCGGTAAGAGAAGACAGTTGGAAAGGGGAGTATGGAAGGATGCTGTTACTGGCAATAATAAAGTCAAGGGTGTGTGCGACTATAGGGGTGACTGGCTGAGATGAAGTGGAAGGCATTCTTACTGGAGAAGAGGTGAAGAATTTAGAGACCAGGGTATTAGGAGGATCAATTATGTGAATATTAAAAAACACCAAGAATTAATCTAAGCATACAATTAAAAAGAAGTCAATGGGAAGGTGCTAACGTTTTTTTGGACGCAGAGAGTGACCTGGGGTTCTACCGATAATTGCAGCAAGAAGTGGTAGCAGGTGATATAGGCATACTGGCATAACCTTCAAAGGAATGAGAATATTTTATGAAGAAGGCATGGGAAATGATCTGGAATTGGTAATGAGGTGAGGGAGAGACACCTTACCCCATTTCAAGGCTCAGTGATATGAAAGACGCCTGCAGCAGAAACATGAATCAGAGGACAGGTTTCAGTTGGAGCAAGATGGTGAAGGGGGACATTCTGAGGAGAGTCAAGAATACAGAGAACTGAGATCCCATCAGTAAAAATGGCCTTTGCTAGCTGCTGTACCTCAACATTTAGAAATTTCCATTTTCAAGATATGATTTTAAAGAGACAATTTGATTTTCTGGGGTTGTATTAGTTTCCTCAGCCTCTCTAACAAAATACCACAAACTGGGTGGCTTAAAACAACAGAAATTTATTGTTTCACAGTTCTGGAAACTGTAGTCTGAAATTAAGCAAGGCCAGGCTCCCTCTGAAATCTGTAGGGGAGAATCCCTCTTTGGCTCTTCAAACCGTGATATCTGCCAGCAAGCCTCCGTTGTTCCTTGGCTTGTCTGTGCATCACTCCAATCTCTGCCTCATCATGACCTGCCATTCTCCCTCTGGGTCTGACTCCTCTTCTTGTAAGGACACCAGTATTGGATTGAGGGCCCACCCTGCAGTATGACTTTATCTTAAATAATTATATCTGCAATGACCCTATTTTTAAATAAGGTCACATTCTGATGTCCTAGGGGTTAGAACTTCAACATATCTTTTGGGAGGACACAATTCAACCCATAACAGGGGTGCTGACAAGAAAACATTACATCTTTTATGGAATGTGTTCCAATTTAAGTTGCTCAGGTTTCTGTCCTACTCAGTAAATGATGCCTGGTAATTCAAGTGTTTAAAGCAATGACCTTGCTTTGTGAAATGCATGACAACCCTAACAGACAAAAAGTGTTATATACCATGCATATGATGTAAGGTCATGTAACACAGACATATCTATTGATGTTTTGTGATGATGTCATTGAACCTATTGGTACAGTCTAGTGAGTTAGCTCAGAGGGGAAGCATTAAACTTTGAAGTTGAGGGTCTTGGGGTCTCTTTCACTATTCTTATAGCTCTATTATTTATTTTTTTTTAAAGATTTTATTTATTCATTTGAGACACAGAGATACAGAGAGAGAGAGCATGAGCAGGGAGAGAGGCAGAGGCAGAGGGAGAAGCAGGCTCCCTGCTGAGCCAGGAGACCGATATGGGGCTCAATCCCAGGACCCCGGGACCATGACCCAAGCCAAAGGCAGACGCCCAACCATCTGAGTCACCCAGGCGCCCCAAGCTCTATTATTTTAAAATATTGAACCAACTGGGCGCCTGGGTGGCTCAGATGGTTAAGCGTCTGCTTTCGGCTCAGGTCATGATCCCAGGGTCCTGGGATCAAGTCCCGCATC